CCGGCCCGCCCGCCCCTCCTGCCGCCTCGGCCCGCCCCCAAAGCGGACGGAGGCCCGCGGACCACGCAGCCGATGGCTTTCTCCGGGGTGGCCCTCTAGCGAATGGGAGGACGACCTGTTTTCGGCCTTGACCTATAAGAGGGCGGATGGTGGCCTCGGCGACCTATGGCAACATCTTGTCCCGCCCGCTAACGGAGGCCCTGGGAGAGGTGGAGGACCAGGACCCGGAGAGGCGAAGCCGGCCTGGGCCTGAGTGAGAGCGGCTCGGCGCGCTGATCCTGGAAGCCCTGAGGAAGCCGGCTTGGCGGCTCTGCCACCTCCCCGAATGTCAGTTCCCTCCTGGGGTCGTCGTCCTGCCGCAAGCACCGAGCACCTGCTTTTAAGTTGTATTATTATTTCTTGTGGTGGTATTATTGCCAGTCATTCTAGGAGGCGCTTAGAGTGAGAGCAGAACGACTCAAACTGTCTCCAGCCTTCAGATTTTCTCAGTGCCCAGTAACCCTAGATTTCTCCTAGTGAGAACTAGAACAAATCATCCTCTCCGAACCTGTGCGAAGCTTGCCCGTTGTCGGGATAAAATTAAAACTTACCGAGCAGAGTGTAAAAAGTTCAGACATTAATTTTCTTTTTAGTATGTAGTTTCAGTCCCTTTTACGGCCCTATTATTATTTGGATTCTGAGCTCCCAGAAAGCAGGAATTTGGCTGATGGACGTTTGTCTATCCTATCCGCCTCCCCAGCAACAGAGTGCCTGACACAAAGAGGTGCTCAGTAAGACCCCCATCTGACATGTCATGAAGAGGAGGAGTCTCTGGGTCTTCTGGGCTGCTTCAGGCTACCCCTAAGTTCAGTGTCCTATGGCTGCTTCTCTGGAAAGTTGTCTGCAAATTGCATTTTTGCCTATGAAGCTCTGTTCCTCAGTCCCTTATGTTTCCTTCCTAGAGGTTGGATATTTATGCCATTTTATGGAGATTCCGAAGAACTGAGGCCCAGGCCTTTGAGTTGTCATTTTCTTACCTTAGCTTCTTGCGGAAAACAATTGTGTTAGTAACAAGGCAGTTTGGATATGCAGGGGTGTGGTATGTGGAATTCCACAGTATACAGGATCGGGACACCCCCTCCTGAGCTCCTCCTTCTGCTCTGGGCTTGATGAGACTTGGGGAGGCTCAGAGCCTGGCCATGGCCCTTGATTTACCTAGGCCCAGAAGCCCTCCTGGAAAATAACGCTAAGCCAGCCACAGTGGGGATTGAGAGGCTGGGGCAGGGCAGGCTTGGGGAATTGGGACAAGATGAGCAGAGGAGTTGAAGCTGAGGGAAGCACTGCTTCTGGAATGGACAAAAGAGGACATTTCCAGGGGTGAGAAATAGTTGGGCAGGAGGCCTGGGCTCAGCATCTGGGCTGAGACCTGGGAAAGGACAGTGGCTGGAAAAAGTTTGAGCCTATTGTTGGACCCCTCCCTGGACCCAGCCCACATGTCCCTTGGTCTGTGTGTAAGGGAAGGAGCAGGCCCTGTGGGGATGGTGAACAGATTCATTCCCTGAAGCTGCAGGACCCGTTCCTTGAAGAATCCCAAAAAGAAGTGGGAGAATCTCCTTACAGGCTGGTGAGAGATGAGCAGGGGAAGAGGCAGAGTTTCATGGAACAGTAGCTGAGAACAACGCAGAGGCTCAGGGAAGCTGGGGTGTCATTGACAACATGTGTGTGAGAGGGTGTTGGGGCATAGTTCCCCACCCCCACCTTAAGGGAAGAAAGACTAAAGTAATGCCATTGATCCAACATACTGTCCTGTGGTGCCCAGCGGACACCTGGATTCACAAGAGAGCACCCAGACATTCTTGAGGTGATTACTGGAGATGAACTCTCAGGAAAGGCTGGATTTCCTTCCAGCGCTGGGGAAACAGGACACACAGGGTTATACCCCATTGTCAGAGCCTCATACTCCAGCAGTGCAAAAATCCTCTTTAGGGGCCGGCCCGGTGGCGCACTGTAATAGTGCGCCGCTTGGGAAGCGCGGCGGCGCTCCCGCCGAGGGTTCGGATCCCACATACAGACCGGTTCCCGCTCACTGGCTGAGCGAGGCGCGGGAGCAACACCGAGGCTTGCAATCCCGTCGCCGGTCCCGGTCCGGTGCGGGGGCGACACTGAGGGTTGCGATCTGTTGCCGGACATGGAAAAAGACAAAAAAAAAAAAATCCTCTTTAGGAAACAAAACTGTAGTGGATTGAATTATGTCCCCCCAAAACTCACTGAAGCTTGAATTGTGTCCCCCCAGTTTTATATATTAGAAACTTAGCCCCCACTGTTATTGTTAAGAGGGTGGGAAATCCTATTATGGTAATTGAAAGGTGGAGCTTTTAATAGGTGATTAGATTGTAAGACCATGCAGTACCAAATGGATTAAAAATGGCGGTCAGGGTTATGGTTCTGAGGGCCTTAAAAGGAGAGTGCGTGAGGAACTGTCTCTCTCTACTCTCTCTGCTCTGCCATTTTTGCAGTGTGATACTGTTAGGCAATTATGTTTTAGCCGATGTCTAAGACGGCAGTGGGTGGATGGGAGGAACACCCAAAATGGCTGCAGAGAGTTTCAGATCCCTAGAACAGCACGTTTTCCGAGAATCACTAAAACCCCCTCCCCCTTCTTCACCACCACATCCCCTTCCCTCGGGTGTGAATTTCTCCATCTATAGAAAAATCCCAACTCAGCTTAGCGCCCCCCCCCCCGCTTCCCTCCCCTTCC